CTATAGTATATTGGGGGTTATATTTACTTATAACCATTGTTTTTGTGAGTTTGGCCTGTGGCAGCACTATCCATACAACGGCTAGAGTAATCCTGCAATGTTAGAAGCTCTTCAGCTGCGAGATGTTGAGGAACTCCCGAATCCCTAAACCCTCAACCCANNTCATGTTCCATTCTCTTTTCCATCTTATCGAGGTAAAATCCTCTAAATCCTAACCCGCAATAAGCCTTCTACATTTTAAGGAACCTCATGGAGCAGGCACATGGCAATCAACGCAATCAGTGGTCCCGTGTCCAATGGCCTGCCCCTCATCGAAGCTGAATCAAGTCAAGCGCACTTCATCTTATTGGCTGGGTAGGTACTCTCCACAGTTGTTGGGACTGTATGTTGTTTTTTCGGAGGTAAATGCACACTTCTGGGGCTAGGGAACCCCAGCAGGTTCTGAGTTCTGAGCCAGGAGGGCTTCAATCAGGCAATTTCCTGTCTGCAGGACGGACACGGATGTCTGCATGTCTCACGCGAGGGCGCCCTTGTATACACCAAGACATGAAGATCCCAGAGTTTGGAGATGCTCTAGCTTGGTCATGACCTTGAGGTCAGGATCAGAGTGCCAAGCGGAAAGAGGCAGAGGTAGCCAAGGAAGCAGCTTCTGAGGAAGCCCGAACCTCAGGTAAGGGGGTTTCTCCCTTCCCAGCAGAATCACGATACACATTTCCAAGCCAGGGCTATGTGTAGAGTATTGGGAAGATAGAAGTGTAGAACTGGGCTGGAAAAACCAGCTACAACCAGGTGGTAACATTTGGTCCTTGTGCTGTGCCACAAGACTGCATCTTTTGTGATAGGTCACCAACTAGACTGTTCGCGAGGGAAAGCTACAAAGAACCAACAGCGGCCGCCGTGTATCTTTCTCGATTTTGATGCCTATAGTACCTTCTTCATCTTCGTATTCTGCCTCAACCTGATTTCCCGATCTGTTGGACATGTGTTCTCCCTGCTTTCTACAGGACCTGCTACTCCTTCAGGCTTGAAGTTTTCGCAACGGTGGCCATGGGGAACGTTGCATGAGAAAAATGACCTCTGTTGAAATTTCCTTTTTCCGGTCGGTGACCGTTTTGGCTCAAGATTTGGCTACGAGGCCC